GGTCGATCACGGGTAACACTATAATGAACTACTAGTATATGTTTGTCTGTATGTTTGGCTTCATGGCTTGTAGCGTCATTCAGTTACATGATACTTAATCGTTATCCATTATATGTACTTGTTAATATTGATCTGCTGTTTGTTATAACATACCGATATACCAGTATACCTCTCATCATATATAAGGTGCAGTCATTTCACTTTTATAACTGTGGAATGATTGAGTGAGTTTATTTATAGGCCGCCTTTAGCTTTCGGCCGGGGACACCAGACCTGTGGAATCGAACCCGGGTCTTCGGCGTGACGAGCGGACGCTTTAATCACTAGGCTACCTCGACCGCCCCTTATGGTGCGGTCCCAGTGCCGACCTCACGCTACTCGACCTTCTCGACCTGAAGGTCGAATTGGGGGTCGAGTTGGTCGAGTTTCAGAACGAGTTAGGTCGAGTCAGGTCGAGTCAGATCGAATCAGGTCTACCAAGTTTTTGAAATTGTTTTGACATGTCAAAGATTTTCCCCGACTTCCTCCTCGACCTTCGGTCCGAGATGGGGTCGAGACCAGGTCGAGAATAGGTCGAGGTAGGTCGAAAAAAGGTCGAGTTTAGGTCGACATTAGGTCGAGTTGGTCGAGTTGAAGGTCGAGCTGGCCTGACATGCCGATCTGTGTTCGTCTTAGCGTCGATCTGTACTCGGCCTCGACTCGACCTCGACTCGATCTTGAGTCGACCAACTCGAACTGGACTCGACTTGGACTCAACCTGGAGTCGACCGAGTCGACCTGAAGTCAACCTATCTCGACCTCAACACGACCATCTTCCCAGATGCTTCATAAAAGCCAAACGGCAGCCAGTGGTAGCACATCATCTCCACACCAACCTGCTGCCACCCAGAGGTCCACCCTGAGCACACCACCCTCTCCAACACGCCGCAAAGCAGCGAAACAGGCTGGTATATTCCCCAGCTTTGACTCCAGTGCTGCAGCAGGTATATCTCTGTACCTGCCAAGCGGTCTCTTGGACCCTACACACACCTCAGAGGATCAGTCACATGTTCAGGACTCTCAGCAAAGACAGTGAAACTGATAAGTAGAACTTGGTACTCATATATTGTCATGAGCACTTTATACTGATGTGAAATGTTACCTTCAGATTATTTAAACGAGTTTCCAATACAAGATTTAAAAGCTTTTTTATCTGATATTTTTTGTGTGTTTTCCATCCATTGCTAAGTGTAAATGTAAATGCATCTTGTACGATTGTAATAAACTTTGTTTTTTTCATCATGTATATAGTTAGTTTTCATTGTGTGTTTTTTCGCATTTACCAATTGTAAACAGTGTAAATAAAATACAAACAAGAGTTCCTTTGTAAATGAAGTAGTCCTAAATAATAGAGTACACTTTAGAGTCATTTGGATATCATCTTCTCTTGCAAATGAACAGCTCCTGGGCCCATGAAATAGTCCTTCAAATAGTTTCTTTGGTTGGCGCCATCTAGTGGGGTAACGTTCCTCGTACCCCGGTTATCCCCATCAAGCAGCTGTGTGTAGGAGCGCCACTTGCCTGGGGTGAGTGAACAGTCCCCATTCCCCGGTCTATGAGGTTCATCTGACTGTTCCGGTTCCTCGTTCTCAGCATGTTGTGTAAAGTGACGCAGGCCTGGGATATCTGTTTAGGGAGCCAAGGAAGATCTGGAACCTCATTGCCAGAATCCCGAATTGCGAGATGTTGGATTTTGTAAATACATGCTCATTTTTTGTGTATATCATTTTGCAATCAACAGACATCATAACATGTCATGTGTACAAGTATCACACCTGTATGTGACAGAGACCGAACTCGGGCCATAAATCAATGCATTTTGTTTATGGTGTATAGCCTGATTGGTGTTAAGTTCAAATTGCATATGGTCAGTGATCGCAGTTGTGTATTGAATATGGTCATTAGCAGACAGGCAGGCAGACACATAGGTGTCAATAAAACAGACATTGAGTTTTGTCTGTGACAACGACACATCTATATCACAGTTAGAAATTCTGTCAACGCTAAATAATGACATTGCTTTTAAGTATCGAACTGAGAAAGTGACTCGGTAAGAAGAACGTGTGGTGAAATAGACAAATGAAATTATATAAACAGTTAATCTACTGTCATAACACATAAAAAGCTCGCGCCTGTGAAATATCAACAAAACATTAGAAAAATAGCTCACACCAAAGCCTTCACCGAGTATTCACCGGACAACCCGCTTCCAAGCTGCGCGAACCTATTTCACTGCGCACGTGCTATGAGCGCAGCCCAGCTGTTGAAACCACTTGAATTCCCCCAAGCGCTGGGGGAAAATTAGTGATTCGTTTGAACTACGATTTCGCTCGGGTTTTTTTCATCGCGTTATTTTTCAACTTTATAAGTTGAATTTTCATTTTTGATGATTTGTTTCGGTAAGTCCATACCGAAAGGTATCAGAATCTGCAAAGTTGTGTTTTACGTTGCATGTGACCTTTAATAATGAAGTATACGACTGAAGAATAGAACCCCCCTGAACCCCCCATTGGCTCCGCCAACGCAAAAAATCTTCAGTGTGGTCTGAAGTCATTTTCAAAGGGGGGTTCGAACCCCCTGAACCCCCCCTCTGGATCCGCCAATGGTGTAAGAATCCTCGCCGAAACGTCGCTCTATACACTAAACGGACCCGTGAAGATCCGGGGTAGAATAGGTCTTCAGCAACCCATGTGCTTGCCATAAAAAGGCGACTATCTTGTCGTAAGAGGCGACTAACGGGATCGGGTGGTCAGTTTCGCTGACTTGGTTGACACATGTCATCAGTTCCCAATTGCTCAGATCGATGCTCATGCTGTTGATCACTGGATTGTCTGGTCCAGACTCGATTATTTACAGACCGCCGCCATATAGCTGGAATATTGCTGAGTGAGGCGTAAAACTAAACTCACTCACTCACTCACTAAACAAGATGTTGCTATCTATAAATTCGTATGCTTCATTACTCACCAACTTCTAGAATGCCGATCAACCAATTTAGTTCATAAGTTGCTTAATTGCGTAATGGTCTTGTGAGGATTCTTATTCGAAAATTTGTCAGTCAAACTATCAAGTGCAATTATACAGAGATATTCAGTCAGAGATATCCCCTTACTTACTTTATAAGTAAAATATAAAAAGTCCCCTTACTCTCTTTAACAAGAAGCCACGTCTGAATTATAGTATACACATGGGCTTGTGGAAGGAACAGCTGCCTCGGCAATTCCGTAGGACTGAGTGGGAAGGAGAATTATGCAGGTCAGTCCAGTACTAAATCCCTTTAAATCAACTGTATTTTTCTCGTTGAGTGGTACATTAATACATGACAACAGAACAAGGACGAATGACAACAGAACTAGACTTCAGGGGAGCATGCTTATCCAATATTCGTGATAAGCAAGTAGTTAACACATCAGTCATATCATCAACTCCACAAGAATCAGAGAGTGACTGCAGCACCTCAGAAGATTCAGTGTCATTGGAAAACTGTCTAATATCTATATCTCAAGTTTTCCTGTAGCTAATTTCTTTTCTCATTTGCTTAGGTTATGTAAGTTTGACAGAGCACTGAATAAGTGAATGATCAGATATCTGTTTGTAACTAACATCAACGACATCCAGAATATCACAACTATCCTTGATTACGACTAGTTCTACTGTATGGCCTGATCGATGAGTTGGACCAGACACGTGCTGTAGGAGACTGAAAGATGTCACAGAAGGATTTAGTAAAGGAGTCAGACAGAGAATCAACATGGATATTGAAATCCTATATTAGAGTGAGTGAGTATGGTTTTACGCCGCTTTTAGCAACATTCCAGCTAATATCACGGCGGGGGACACCAGAAATGAGCTTCACACATTGTACCCATGTGGGGAATCGAACCCGGGTCTTCGGCGTGACGAGCGAACGCTTTAACCACTAGGCTACCCTACCGCCCCAAATCCCTATTAGAACCAGATGACCTGGTTCAAGGGCAGTTTTGACAAGGCTGGACTAACATTCAGGAACACTTGCCACATGATTTTGGTCGCTGAAATTTTGGAAATAGAACCCATTCCAGCTCTGTTATATACTCATCGTCGTAGTTTATGAGGGGCGGTGCAGTAGCCTAGTGGTTAAAGCGTTGGCTCGTCACGCCGAAGACCCGGGTTCGAATCCCCACATGAGTACAATGTGTGAAGCCCATTTATGGTATCCCCCGCCGTGATGTTGCTGGAATATTGCTAAAAGCGGCGTAAAACCAAATTCAGTGAGTCAGTCAGTCGTAGTTTATGTGATCGTTTAACAACCATTTCATATATCCCTTCCCGGAACATTCCTGCATCATCGATTTATGTGTTAAAGAAAGTTTTATTTACTAAATTTCAAAGAAATAAAAGATATGTTGCAAAAATATAGTTTTGTTTCGCTTTCACGATGATCCTGCAAATGTTCCCATATTGGAACATACCTGTATCTCTGGAACCGTTCAAGATATCAGTACTGGTATGAAATTTTGGATTTTTCTTAGTTACATCATTATGAGACTCTCCTGTAAATTTAAAGTGTTTCTGACAATGATCTAGTACCGGTATGATAAAGGTTAAGACAGAGACCATATCCAACCAAGTCAACATGTAACTGATACCAGGAATTTCCACAATGGATAGCATTATCAATTGATGTATAGTGTCTGGATGCATGTTCAAGCTTGACCAGAACAGCTTCATTTTGGGATGCTGTTGTCACGCCTTTGAGGCCAAGTGTTTAAGTTGTGCATATTTCACAAAATAGTCTTGACATAATAACATCCATTACCCTTTTATAATCTAGATTTAGTAACGTTTCTATTCATTTTGACATATCAAGACAAATCGCAACCATGTATGCTTTTTATTTAGTATCGTCTGTGATCGTTTTACACTTTCATATATACAAGTCGCATGGAAAACACTTTCAAAGGGACATCACTCTAAATTACTTTGTGCGTGTCATGGCTGATACTCTCAGAACGTGTCATTTATAGTGATATCGTTTGAAATTAATTCATTTCACAACCTGTTCCCAGTTTAACCACCGACAAGCAACATGTGGTTCATGTTTTTAATGAGCTGGGTAGCTCTCGTTATTCAAATATTCGTGGTAACATTGTCCATAGGTAAGTTGTAAGTCATTCAAAAGTATGCCTTTTGTCACCTTCACCCCCTGACTCAGTTGAAAAAAATGAGCTGCTAAATGACTACTTCTCGAAGATATTTTTTATTATTTTATATATTGAACACATTTGAGACTGTGTGTGTTTAAGAAACTGAGATAGAACACATATGCAAATCCAAGGACAGTTAACTTGCTCATCTTATCAGTAACAATCATCGGGTCCTACAGGGATGGAAATTCCGGTGTTTGTAGGGCTGTCTCTGAAAGTCAATAATCGGAAATGACGTCGTTGAAAGAAATTTCACTATCTATTACCAGTGTGAAAATGTTGTCATCCATAATGTCTTATGAAGTTATGTCAACACATAAGAAATAAAGTTTTAATTTACACTTAAAATACAGGAAAGATTTCCTCCCATAACCCCCGTATTTTTTTAATCATTCTATGCCTATGTTGTTTTTTAAAAAAATAATATATAACCTAACCCTAGACCTAACCCTAAAACCTAACCCCAAACCAAACCCTAAACCCTCGAAATAATCCTAATTAATAGAATACATTTCAAATGGGGGTTACGGGCGGAACTCTTACCAAGATACACCTAATAACGATATTCAAGAGTCACATTTAGATTATGATCGGAATGCTGTTTTTGTCAGTAATATATGGGTCACCACTCAACAGTGACATGAAATTTGTCTATTTGTTTTGTGGCTTTATGGCATGTTTCCTTATCAAAGTTTTTCAATATTTACCAACAATCAGTTGATGATCTCAACATTTATATCCATAGATAGTCCCAGTAATTTGCAATTGCGAAGTATACAGATGTTTTTGCAGAAACTTGTCTGGAGTATATATACCGATACTGTCCCCATGTCCCCATGCTAATAAGGCTAATGTGATATTGTGTTATTTATCATGTCACTCACTATGTCTGTGCTTACAGCTGCAGGTCTGTACTACTTGGCGGAGCTGGTTGAAGAATACACAGTCACTACTGCCAAGATCATCCGGATTCTCATTGTTGTGAGTAAACATTTTATTATTTTAACAGGGAAAGCTTGGTGAATCTGGCGCAATGTTTGTTCCTGGTACCCCATTGCAATTGTGGGAATTAACATGATTAAGGGGCAAAATAGATCTGAATATGAAATTGTGTCATGAGTAGAGCATGTAACGTGTACAAGAAATGAGTCCCTTGTCACACATTCGGGTGACTATCTGAAACAGAGTACTCATACGTGTATGACTGCCTGATGATTCATCACTGTCATTGGAATTCTTCATGTTGCACAAAAATATGTGTCAAGTTATATACAATGTATGGTCATTGTGCGTAATCAGTCAATGTAAATCAATAGTCTTGTTGTCAACAACTGATTTGTCTGGCCACTACTTATGTTTTGTTTGTTTGTTTGTACTCAGCACTATTCCATCTACATGGCAGCTGTCTGTAAATAATTAAGTCTGGATGAGTCAATCCAGTGGTCATCAATCTACATAATTGGGATACAATGACATGTATCAATCAAGTCAGCAAGCCTGACCACCCGATCCTCTTAGTCGCCTCTTACGACAAACATGGGTTGCTGAAGACCAATTCTAACCCAAATCTTTATGGGTGTAAAGGTTCTATTATTAATGTAACTATCAAATCCTACAGGATAGTTCACACCATTTTATTGTTTTACATTAACCTCACATTGCCAGGAGGAATATAAGTTATTAGGGTCTCCTGGTAAAAAACTGTGAAACTCATTTAAATTCTGGTGCATTTATGCTTTTGACACTTTGAAATAACATTATACCGTCTGTGTTTCAGCTAACAACTGTTGTGTACATCTGCATCTTCCTGTTTGAAGAGTTTCCACTCTCTGTCATAGTGTGTGGGCTTGGAGCCAATATTTCCTACTTTTTCTTACTAAAGAGCTTCCCATACTTCGAGATGAGTTCTGTACCTTTAATCAGTGGCATAGGTAGGTGGAACTAAAAAAAATATGTAAAATGTATGTTGCCAAACTAGAATGTCTGTTTATGTGAGTGTTTGCATTTTCTGTTGACTTGCTTCCATATATTTTGTGAAATAATCAGTTAACTGACAGCTGTATATATCCGGTAATAATACCATGACTGCCAGCTGTATCTTTCAAGTTTGAATATGTTGATTGACAGCTTAATAGTTCATGTTATAAAATGTTGATGGACAGTTGTGTATGTCCAGTTATAATATGTATACTAATTGATAACTGAATATTTCCAGTTTATATGTGTCGATTGGCCTCTGTATATATCCATTTAAAATACGTGACTAACAACTGTTTATTTCCGGTTCTGATATTTTGACTGACAGTAGTATATTGTCGGTTCTTTTGCATTGATGATTGAAGGGCTCTTTTGTCTGTTTCAGGACTGATGTTATTAAATCACTATCTGTCATTTTCACACTTTTCTGAAGTTTGGTACCCCTTCTCAGAGGTGAGTTCTGTCACACTAAAAGTGAAAGGTCTCTGACAATCCTGGACAAATGACTTGCTTAAAGCCGGTGTGGTTTGTTTGTTTGTTGTTTAACATCGCACTCAGCAGTGTTCCATCTGTATGATGGTGGTTTGGACACCATGTCAACCAAGTCGGCTAACCTGACCACCCGATGATGGTGACTGCCTCCGTGGTGTAGGTTAGAGCGTCCGCCTGGAGAGCGGAAGGTCGCGGGTTCGATCCCCGACCGCGTCATACCAAAAGACGTTAAAATATGGTAATTGTTGGTCCCTGCCTGGCGCATTAATGGGTACAACAGGGACTGGTCGGCTCGGAGTCAGTATAATGTGTCTGAGTGGGGTATTCATAATTCACTGCGGGATGGTATCTCAGTGGGCTAGCACTATAAAACCAGCTTCAGTCTGGGCTAGTACAAGCAACCGCACATACACATACACACACGCATGCACGTTGTCATATGAGCGAAATATTCTCAAGCACGACGTAAAACCCAATTTCACCTCACCTCACCTGATGATGGTTGCCTTGTACAATAAGCATGATTTACATGAGACCCAAATCTTCATGGGTAAAAGCCTCCATGGTTATCCAGGAAAAAATTGGTCTTCGGTAAACCATGCTAAACATGAAAACAGGTGTGGTATGTCAGGCTGGCTTGTTTATTGTTTCTCAGTGTTCAGGTCATTATAGTTATAACCCAGATGTGTTGGTCAATGCTCATGATGTTAGTCACTGGTTTGTGTGGTGTAGACACAATTATAGCTGGAGTATTGATGAGTGCTGTGATAGTCAACAAACAAAGGGGCCCGTGAAGATCCGGGGTAGAATTGGTCTTCAGCAACCCACGCTTGCCACAAAAGGCGACTATGCTTGTCGTAAGAGGCGACTAACGGGATCGGGTGGTCAGGCTCGCTGACTTGGTTGACACATGTCATCGGTTCCCAATTGCGCAGATTGATGCTCATGCTGATGATCACTGGATTGTCTGGTCCAGACTCGATTATTTACAGACCACTGCCATATAGCTGGAATATTGCTGAATGCGGCGTAAAACTAAACTCACTCACTCACTCAACTAACAAAGGCTAAAGTGAAGGGTCCCTGACAGTCCTGCGGTCCTGCTTACATGTTACAGAATGCAAAGTGACCTGACCATTTTGAATCTGGACAGCAGGGGTGGAAATAACCGATTGCCCGACGTCCGAGTCCAGTGTTTTTTTCTGTCGGGCAAGCAAATTTGTATATCACACTGTACCGGTGTCCAGTTGACTTACCAATATTAATTAAGTTGTTTATTTAAAAAAATCAACAAGAAATCGGATGGTATAGTGGAAAAATTATCAGGGCAAGTGATTTTACATATGCCACTGTACCGGAGTACACTAGCAATTTTAAAGTTATTTCCACCCCTGGTCAGTTATGACCAATCATAGATACAATTCCGTCAGTTGGTCCCAAATAAATAGAAGCACCTTGGCCAATAAACATCACAGCACAGCACAGTTGTTCAGGATCATCAGCTGAGTATTTTGTACGAAACAAATGAGTAACTGCCATGTATATTGTCATAGAAAAAATCTGTTGATATTTCATTTTTGTTGCCACTGAATCATGTTTATCTTGCCCATGGGTGATAGCAATGGAGTTTACATTCCTGGACGTAGTCGACTTAATGACAACCTGGTTAGGGGCCTTTGTCCTATTGTGACTTTCTTCATGCAAAGGTGACTCAGTTGTCTGTTCAGAATTGCATTATCTATACACACCAGAAACTAGGTTTGAATCCTGGTTTGTGCTCATTATGTTATAACGTTTACCAGCTCCTTACCCACTGACGAGTGAAGGTCCGGGTTAGAATGAACCTTCAGTAACCCATGCTTGTGGTAAGTGGTGACTAACGGGATCGGGTGGTCAGGCTCGCTGACTTGGTTGAGACATGCCATCGGTTCCCAATTGCACAGATCGATGCTCATGCTGTTGATCACTGGATTGTCTGGTCCAGACTCGATTGTTTACAGACCGCCGCCATATAGCTGGAATATTGTTGAGTGTGGCGTAAAACTAAACTCACTCACTCCTTACCCACTGTTTTGGTTTCACTGAAGTGTTCAATATCTGACATTAACCTGTACGCTGTGATGGAACTGCAATACTGCTTAAATCAGGGTTTATACCCAGCACAATCAGTCCAAGTGTCTCGATGTGTCGGTAACCTCCATACAATGTCTCTTCCAGGTCCTTGCATTCTTCACAATATGTCTGTGGCTGGTGCCGTTCGCATTCTTTGTGTCGCTGTCAGCCAATGAAAATGTGTTGCCAACACTGTCAGAAACACAGCCAAGAAACACAGGTTAGTATATAGATGACCAGTAGATATTGACACAGCCATGGAACACAGGTATAACATGTATAGTGGATAAGCTTCTGCAGGGGTGGAAATAACCCATTGCCCGACGTCCCAGTCCATTGGTTTTTTTCTGTCGGGCAAGCAAATTTGTATATCACACTGTATCGGTGTCCAGTTCATTTTCCAATGTTCATCATGTTGCTTATTTAAATAATCAACAAGAAAATCTTCCTGTATAGTGGAAACATTATCAGGGCAAGTGATTTTACATGTGCCACTGTACTGAAGTACACAAGCAATCTTAAAGTTATTTCCACCTGCCTGGTGCTCCGCATTAAAGAGAGAAGACAAGGACGAGATGGCTTTGAGTTGGTATAATGTGTTTTAGCAGTGTATCTATGTTTAACTGTGGCATGGTATCTCAGTGTGCTAGTACTATAACACTGCCAGAAGTTCAGACTAGTACAAACAGTCACACGTATGCATGAGTGAGTGAATTTAGTTTTACACCGCTTTTAGCAATATTTCCAGCAATATCACAGCGGTATGCCTGCGTGACACAGTATGGGTGCAATACTTTTAAGTGTGAAGTTACTACGCACCTCACCTCACCTCTACACCTTACCTCACCTCCACACCTCACCCTTCTCCTCCACACCTCACCTCTCCTCCACACCTCACCTCACCTCACCTCACCACACCTCACCTTACCTCACCTCTCCTCCACACCTCACCTCACCTCCACACCTCACCTTCACCTCACTTCACCTCACTTCTCCTCACCCCACCTCATCTCCACACCTCACTTCACCTCACCTCACCTCATCTCCACACCTCATCTCACCTCTGGAGACAGTTGGGTAGCCTAGTGGTTATAGCGTTTGCTCATCAAGCTGAAGACTTGAGTCTGATTCCCCACATGGTTACAGCGTGTGAAGCCCATTTCTGGTGTCCCCCGATATTGCAAGAATATTGCTCGAAGCGGTGTAAAACTACACTCACACACTCACCTGCTTACCTCCCAGTGGTACTGGTGAAATACTCTGACCTGCATCATATATGGCATTGTTCCCACATAGAATGACATACCACATAACTAAACCAGAAGTTAAACCAAATTCACTCACTGCCTGGCATACAATGAAAACATTCTCTTCTTTCCTGGCATACAATGAAAACATTCTCTTCTTTCCTGGCATACAATGAAAACATTCTCTTCTTTCCTGGCATACAATGAAAACATTCTCTTCTTTCCTGGCATACAATGAAAACATTCTCTTCTTTCCTGGCACACAATGAAAACATCCTCTCTTCTTTCTTTCCTGGCATACAATGAAAACATTCTCTTCTTTCCTGGCATACAATGAAAACATTCTCTTCTTTCCTGGCATACAATGAAAACATTCTCTTCTTTCCTGGCATACAATGAAAACATTCTCTTCTTTCCTGGCATACAATGAAAACATTCTCTTCTTTCCTGGCATACAATGAAAACATTCTCTTCTTTCCTGGCATACAATGAAAACATTCTCTTCTTTCCTGGCATACAATGAAACATTCTCTTCTTACCTGGCATACAATGAAAACATTCTCTTCTTTCCTGGCATACAATGAAAACATTCTCTTCTTTCCTGGCATACAATGAAAACATTCTCTTCTTTCCTGGCATACAATGAAAACATTCTCTTCTTTCCTGGCATACAATGAAAACATTCTCTTCTTTCCAGATGAAAGTGATGTTGTCAGTAACTATTTCCGAAAGAAGGGGAAGAAGTATGGCCTCCTGTCCTTCTTCAAAATGGCGCATGAGAATGTGCTACCCCAGAGAGTCAAGAAACAGTTTTAACAATTTAAACACCTCCACTTGATCTGATAAAGACTAGATTTCAAGAGGAAAGTGCCATTTCTGACTGAGGATGAAGTGTGTAGTATTTGCATGACTTGTATAGACATTGTTCTTGGTTGATAGATCCATTTGTTATCCGTTTGGTTCCCACAGGAAACTTGGAAGCCTTTACAGGTGTGTACATTGTCCGACCAGCATTACACTGGTAGTGTCTGGTGCTTTTGTTCATTTTTTATACTGTTTTCATTGTAATTAGCTCATGGAATGTTCTTTAACTGGACTATAGGTTCCAATTTAGTTTCGCTAGTTATATATCTAGGTCCTGGGTGCCGTTGAACAAAGAGATTTTAGCGCTAAGGTGACCGTAACTCCCATACTTTAACATAGACTTAAGGTAAGTGCTAATTACAACGGCACCCAGATCCACAAAGTGTTTGTCCGCCATATAGCTGGAATATTGCTGAGTCGCGGCGTAAAACTAAACTCACTCACAAAGTGTTTGTAGTGGAAGATTGCTAGTGTGAAACTACTGGCAAACAAGAGGATAAGTGTTTGGACTATTGGACACACTGGAGAACAGCAGGATAAGAGAAAGAAGCGCTGATTAGAGAAGAAGGCGGTGCGCGGCAATGAGCAAACCCATTTGGTTTGTGAAAGGCAGAGCAGATATAGGCTAGTGCACATGCATTGCATGGCGATGAAATTGATTCCGCGAGTAGCTGCACACGCCTTGCTCATAAGACTCTCACGTCAGTGCAGCACGTCGCACTACACTTGATCGCAGACAACCTGGGGCCCCTTTGCTAACTCAGGTTTGATTGTCTATTTATATGAAATATAAGACAACTGATTCAGCTGATGTTTTCAAATGCTGAAAATTTTGGATGGAACTGCTTCATCATGGAAATATACAAGGGGGTGCCGTTGTACAAAACAACCTTAGTGCAACTCCTGTTATTAGTCTCTGTTTAGGTATTGGTGTTACATTCACCTTAGAGCTAAGATGGTTTTGTACAATGGCACCCCCTTGTATATTTCCATGGCACTCTCTCTCGTCATGAGTCAGGATAAGTATAAAAATATCAATTTTACTTAAAAAATTACATTTATGTTTTGCATACTAAACCCAAAACATGGGAAAAAAGTGTTCCATCTTTTTCAGAGTATCCACAATTTTTGACCATATCTATTAACTTGTCCAGTTTTATATACTGACACGGCTTTATATCAATCCAGTTAACCATAGTAACTGATATGCAAGCATTGAGCTGCTTCACTAATTTTACTAATATTGGCTTGTTTTCATCAGTGTTCATGATTTTTTAATATTTTTTAATGATTTCATGTTTGCTCAAGTCTGCTGTGGGCATGGTAGGTGCTATATTTGTTGCATATTGCTTGATTCTCGGTTCATTTGCCTTATTGTTAGCTTGTATAGTATTACATCAGAAGGTTCTGTCACTTGACACTCATTTGCAATTTCTGCTGGACTGAAGCTATGGTGGCCTGGAACAAAACGAATAATACTCACTGAATAATGAACAGAAAAACTGAATGCTGACATATTCCAAATATGGGATGACCCGGAGGTCAAGGTCACAGTGCAGTTTACCCTGGTGATGGATGTGCGAGATGTTTGAAATCCCCACCTAATTATCTGGCTGTGTTTAGCAGTGTTTCACCTTTCAAGAAAGTTAGACTGTTCTGATATTTCAAAGTTATTCATTATCCTCTATTTATTTTGGAAAAATTGAAAAGGGCAAGAATGACTAATGATGGTTGTAATTTTCATACATTTACTCAAAACCTTGGTTGATTGGTTCAGTATATCACAAATATGGAACAAACGTAAGATTTTGTGTCTTTTAATAAACTTCAATACTTTCAGTAACATGAACTGGAAGGTCAATAGGGCAAGGGAGGTAACTCAAGTCATGTATAAATAATTATACAGGAGAGGGCAACCAGACTGTGGAATATGTATATACTGTAATAGAAATAGCCACACATATAACATACTATACACATCACCGTACAGTATAAATAATTAAAACCCACTCATTTTCAATTACGACCAAACAAATCATCATGATTTATGGTATTTGGTTCCAGTGACAGTGTGGCTGGTGTTTATCATTATATCACTTTATGGGGATTTGTCTTTGTAATTGGGGCGGTTGGTAGCCTTGTGGCTAAAGTGTTTGCTCATCACTCCGAAGACTGGGTTCGATGCCCCACATGGGTACAATGTGTGAAGCCCATTTCTAGTGTCCCCCGTTGTGATATTGCTGGAATATTGCTAAAAGTGGTGTAAAACTAAACTCACTCATTCACTTGTTTGTAATCTGTGTGGCATATTTTAAGGCCTGAACATGTTCCACTGTTTGGCTGCTCTGTTTTTCTGAGGTAGGCCTGTATTTCATCACACCAGTGACTTCGTTTAATTTTCTCCAAGACTTTTTGTGACTTTTTTACAGAAAGATGTATGAATCTAACAAAAGAAATGTAGTCCCTGATTGTTTAATGTTTAACATATGCCTGCAGTTTTGTTCAGCGGTCATTTCTATTGTACATTTTCATGTTTTTGTTGTATTCAGATACAATCATTGTAATCTGTCATGTGTTCTGTAGTTAAGTGTTTATAGTGTAGATATGATATGACATATCATCTTGTTGATTCTGATTATTTGAATGTAAATACACAGAGAGATGGCACTGTTGCATTATGCATGTTTGTACACTGACAATATATTTCAGTGTATCTAACTTAACCGATCCATGAAGATCCAAGTTAGAATTGATCTTCAGTAACCCATGCTTGTCATAAAAGGCGACTAACGGGATAGGGTGGTCAGGCTTGCTAACTTGGTTCACACATGTCATCGTATCCCAATTGTGTAGATCTATACTCATGCTGTTGATCACTGAATTGTCTGGTCCAGATTCGATTATTACAGACCGCCACCATATAGCTGGAATATTGCTGAGTGTGCGTAAAACTAAACTCACTCACTCCTCTCTCTAACTTAATCTCATCACCAAAAGAAAATTTCAATCCTAAGCAACCATTGTTTTTTTTGATAGGTTGGGCTGAGATTAGCATTTCTTATGTTTATAAGTTCAATTAATTTCTCAAAACAGCTGGTCAGTTGTTTATTTATTTAATAAATGTATATACTTAACTGTACTCACCTAACTATGACTCTTTCTCCAAGAGAAGATCACATTGTATCACTACACAGCAAGGCATAATTATGTAAAAATAACTTGTAATATTTTTTCCAGAGGCCCTCCTCTCACCTGAAAATTCAAATGGTTGCTCCCTTAAAAATTTAAATCAGTGTAGTAGGGTTTTTGGATAACTTTCTATTTTGAACAACTGTACCTAAAATGTTTCAAATTTCTTTCAGCATCATTTAGAAAAGAATTTCTGTTATATTATGATTTTATCAAGCTGCATGATTTATGGTGAAGCTCGTCCCTCACCATGATATCTTGCTAGTCTTGATATCAGTGATGCATCTCATTTATGTCTCTGGTCCCGCATGGGGCGGTGGGTAGCCTAGTGGTTAAAGCGTTCGCTCCACATGCCGAAGACCAGGGTTCGATTCCCACATGGGTAAAATGTGTGAAGCCTATTTATGGTGTCCCCCGCCGTGATATTGCTGGAATATTGCTAAAAATGACGTAAAACTAAACTCACTCACTCTGGTCCCCTGTGAATGTACCAGATGCAACTAGTCTTGGTGCCTCCTGTGAGAGGTGATTCACAGGATCTAGTGGTCAGGCCCGCTTACTTGGTTAATAAAATGTCGTATACCATATCAGTGCTCATGACGTCAATCACTGGATGGTCCAGATTTAGATGTTTGCAGATTGCCATTATATTGTTTGAATATTGCCGAGTGTAGTTAAACAATGAAAAAGCAAGTAAGAGAGTGTGTTGGGTGTTGCCATTGTGGGAAAATTAGGGTGTGGGTTGGTGTTGGATGGATTGGAAGGAAAGGGGATTGGATGGACTGAATCTGTCTCAGCAGGCAGGCAGGCAAGAAGTGGTTGGGAAGGGGACAGTGTGAATAGTTTCTTATTATGAGGGGGGCGGTGGGGTAGCCTAGTGGTTAAAGCGTTCGCTTGTCACGCCGAAGACCCAGGTTCGCTTCCCCACATGGGTACAATGTGTGAAGCCCATTTCTGGTGTACCCCACCGTGATATTGCTGGAATATTGCTAAGCGGCGTAAAACCAAACTCACTCTCTCACTCACTCTTATTATGAGGTGTTAATGGAAGTTAAGGGTAAAGAAGATGGATATTGTGGTGTCTGGGGAATTGCAATAACTGTGTAAATAGATGTGTTATCCATGTTCATGATGTTCTTAAAATCCAGGGCCTAGATTTTCGAAGCTCTCTTAGCGCTAAGATAGTCGTAAGTTAATGTTAATGCATGGCAATTACGACTATCTTAGCGTTAAGAGAGCTTCGAAAATCTAGGCCCAGGTTTTTGAGGTGAGTGCCATGTTTCATCCCAAGGCTATAGGGAACCTTCAGTGTCTGAACTGAAAATATGACAGCTGCAGAACTGTGAGCTTCCTGGGCAGGGAGACTGTTTGAGATGGCATATATAACCACTTTGACTTTGATGATCACTTTCATATCTGACTGACAAATTGGAAGTTTCTACTTAAATGTAAGTCATGTGTAAAATAGCTTCATTGATTTGGCTGGGCAGAACGTTATTATGAAATAACTACCAAACTCCTTTTTAATGACATAAAACCATGTTGGTTATTTGAGTTACTATTGACACAGACTTTTTTGTTATCCTGACGCAACACATTGCAATTTCCTTCTTTATTTCGATCATTTTAGATAGAACCTAAAACATGTCTCTTGTACTTCTACGATGGCTGTTGCTTTCGGTTATAGTATGTTCTCACAGTGTAACTTGTAACAGTCTGTAGTTAACCCATGAAGATCTGGGTTAGAATTGATCTTCAGTAACCCATGCTTGTCATAAGACTAACGGGAATGCAAGTCACAGGCTCTCTACCAATCAAATTGCTTTTATCTTTCATTATGATCTTATTTGTAAGACAAGTCTTTTGCTAGTCGTACTGTGGGAACACACTTTTATTAATTGTGTTGCGCCCTTGATTGCTCACTTACTTGTCACAGTACAAAAGGATGCATAACTGCTTAATTCTGAGAAACTATGTTGTTATTGTGGTATTTTTGGACATTATACATAAGAAGTCTTCTACAGATGCTTTTCTGGGAGGTTACTACATTCTATAATGTGGGATATGTTGTCATTTCACTTT